CCAGGCTGACAGGTAGTGCCGAACATCCATAGGTAAAGCATCCCTGTCATAGAGCTCATGTAACTGCTGTTGGTAAACAGCAGGCAGCTGCCTCAGCTTGTTCCACTGATCCATCCTAAAGTTCACCAGGGACACACCAACATGTACACAAACAACAAAGCATATTCTGTAAAAAAAAAAAAAAGGTTAACATCGCTGCACTAAGAGAGCCATTATGTGTATACGGGTTCAAGAACGTCTGCAATCAACGACTGAAGCAAAGTGCAAACGCTTCCACAAAGGATTACCCGTAATTGCCAACTTAAATTCTAATTACGTATTACCATTGTGAAAGAAAGATGCATAGGAGAAGAGGCACTGCTGGGATTTGAACCCAGGATCTCCTGTTTACTAGACAGGCACTTTGACCAACTAAGCCACAGCGCCTAGCACTAAAGTTAGCATAGTGGCGCAGTGGTTAGCGCCGTTGCCTCACAGCGAGAAGGTTCCGTGGTCGGGCCCCACCTGGGACCCTTTCTGTGTGGAGTTTGCATGTTCTCCCCGTGCTTGCGTTGGTTCTCTCCGGGTACTCCGGCTTCCTCCCACAGTCCAAAGTTGATTGGTGTCTCTAAATTGCCCATAGGAGTGCATGTGCGTGTGTGTGGTTTTTCGTCTATGTGTTAGCCCTGCGATGGATTGGCGACCTGTCCAGGGTGTACCCCGATTGCCGGCCGGGATTGGCTCCGGCCCCCACCCCGTGACCCCGTTCAGGGACTAAACGGTAGAAAATGAATGAATGAATTGGTATGGTATGCAATGTCTACAAACTCTGTTACTTTTTTAAACGGCAGTGAATGTTGAGACCGAGTGCACTTTGTATGTTAGCTTGCTCTTGGCAAAACAGTCAGTCACAATAGTAGACCCGAATAACACATTTACTCACCTTAATTTATGCTGTAAATCTGTCCACTTAGAAATGTCTTGGTAGCTTAAGGGTAATTTAAGACAGGCGCATAGCTAGGCTTTTGTTTCTCACGTTACTACCTGGTTAACTGTAACTACGGTGGTAAAAGAAAAAAGGACCTCGTACAGTTACTAGTCGTGATATTATTTCCTGTGTTTTTTAACGTCGTTTTCTGTTTAATTGGATAACTACTCATCCCTCCCAGGTAGCTCTTTACAAACTAACCATGGACGCCATTTTGGCTCTTGGCGCGCAGCTGTTTAAGGAGGTTCAAGAACCGAAATGTCACTGTTCTCCTACCCAGTTTCCTAGTGGGCTCAGAGCAAACGGCTGATTGGTCAATACGGCTACAAAAACGCACGCGTTATTGGCCCAGTCACACGTCAATCTGAAGCGAGGGGCGTGGTTAGCAAAATAGAAACTTACAGCCGTGTCTGAAACCTTCCAAGAAATGACGTTGTGAAAGTGCAAAAGCGATCATGTGACGCGTTGATTCTAATACTTACAGATATACCGATACCTGTTACCGATTGTTTTTACAATGGAAAAAGAAAAGAAAAGAAACTGGCTCTGTGTGTGTGTGTGTGTGCGCGCGGCCCTAATAGCGAAGTGGTAAAATCTAAGTTGATACTAGTATCTGATAAGATACACAAATACTGTAAGTACAAATTTTTAACTAAGCATCTTGTACGTTAACGCTACTTGAGTATTTCAATTTTATGATACTTTGTACCAATACTCCACCAGCCTAATTATTTGATAACTTTAGTTAGTAACCTAGTTACCTGACAGAGTCAAACTAATAATATTAGGTGAATTCAGCTATATTGGGATAGTTTTTGTAATTTTATCTCGTGGTTAATTTCTTGTCATCAATAAAAAAAATAACACAGCATATGATACATTACTGAATTTCTTAAGGTGTCTGCTTTCTTTATGTGAAAAAAATTAAGTGTGTATGATAATTTACTTTTCCTTTTTTACAAAGTATGGCTCACCATTTTGTTGCAGTTGACACAAAAATTTTCAGTGACTTGTTTGGTAATATGGGACTCTTTCAACTCAAATGATATATTTCAAGGAATATTTTAAACTGATTTCAAGTTCCTGTATGGGACATTTCACTCATCTTTGGAGTGTGGACTTAGGAATTTTCCATTCCCTGGCTAGAAAATGCAGCTGGGGTGCACTAACCAGCCTTCACAATTTGTCTATATTCATTGTTAGCAGCCTTCATTTAGTCCTCATTCCGCTTGTACATTTCTTTCCTAGTTTCTCCCTGTTTTTTCCACTCTCAATTATTGTGATAGGCTTGACCAGATTATAAGGTATGTTACCTATTGTGCAAAATCTGGGGATTAGCATCAATTTGAAGTCTGTTCACAAATCATTAAAAGGTCTTAAACTATTTACTTAGGTTTTAGGCTACATCTCTGTGGCTCTGTGTTGACATAGAAACGATGTCCATTTTTATCAGATTATTTAAACAAACTGATGCTACACTTCAATTCAATTGCCTTTTAACACTGTCCCAAATTATGTGAAACATATGGTCCCAAATTACCAAACTATATATATGTATTTATATGTATACCTCCCTCAGCCAGTTGCTAGTTTGTTCCTCTTCAGATCCTTGTTTTGCTTCCACTTTGTTCCCTCTCAGGGACTTTGCCTCACACTGGTTGCTATTTCCCCCTCACCTGGCTACTTCCTGTTTTTGTTTCAGGATGCCTCTTCAGCTTGTCATCTTTTTTGGATCCAGCTCACCATAATTTCTAGTCTGGTTAGATTGTACTTCCCATTATCCCCTGTTATCCTATGAACTGTTACTCCCTTAAAGGACTCTCTAGAGTGTTTCTGTAGAAATATATTTCCAAGACTACACCAGTGTTGTTCTTTTGCTTGTTTATGCTTATTGATTTTGTATTGTACCCTTCCATCCAGGCTATCTTGGTTATGTCTGTTCATTGTTTTAGTTTTAACTTTTGGCACAGCATTTTGAGAGTGTACTCTGTTATTTGTGTTAGTTCTGTATTTTTACTTTCTGATTCCTGTTTGGAATTCTGTTGTCAACTGAGTTGAGGTCTTTGCATATCTGGCTCTGGTAACTTTGTTTTGCATGCTGTGTATATTTACCTGCCTCATCCTAGCATGGGTGGAGCCAAGGGGGTGGGCAGGCATGGCATCGGCCACCCTCTGAATCTGATTTCCACCCCTACCAGAGTCAAAATGTGATGCTTGTCAGTATTAATGAAATAAAAATGAAAAACAAATGACAAATTGTTACCTTAAACACAACTGACTTTTTCTGATGTTTTATAATTGATATTGGTCAATTTAGTTTTATTTTATATCATGCAGGCAGCATTATATTTGCATTCATTTCCCTAACTGTGTTGTTGGGGAGTACCTAACATGAGTCATCTCAGTAGGGGGAGCCACTGTGCAGCAGTGATGTCCAGTGGCACCTACAGCCATAATCATACAGTACATGCACCATGCATACATTTTTTAAATGATTTTGCTCAAGTTTTATGCCACTGCATCTGGCAATCATTGTACAATAGAGAAATACAGTTTCACATTTAGGGCCAGAGGAACTATATTAGATATATCTAACATGATATCGTATCGCACAGCCCTAGAGTGAATCACATCATTTCTACTCCTAAATGTGAGCCCTGCATATAGCAAGAAATTATGTCATAAAAACATTTAAAAAATTTGGTTTAACATTAAAGTATCTTGTAAAAACTAACAAATTAACTTGTTATAATGACAAAAGTTTATCATTAAAGCCAGATTTTTGTTGTCGTAGGCAGTTCTTGTTGTGTACTATGAAATGTAGTCCTGCAGGTGCCACTGGTGATGTTCCTGGCCAGACGTAAATAGGGAGTGCAGCCAAAGTTAGCTAAAGAAAGCAGTATGTGTGACCCATTTTTAAACAAAATAAATAATTTGATTCCTAATAATGTATGGTTTATTATTTCACATAACTAGAGGTTACTTTTTACGTGTATTTCAAATGTGTCACCCCTCCAAGTCTGCGCGCTAGCCTGGCCACCTGCCTAAATTTTTCTAGATCTGCCCTGTAATCTGCTGTTCTTTGCACATGAGGAAATAGAATTATTTTCCACAACTGCTGCCTAAAAATTAACATTTGTGTACTGTATATCTGTGTCTGTATTTACAATGGTTTAACTGTACAATAACATTCTTTGTAAATGTTATTTCCTTTAAGAATATTGAATCTACAAAATATAATTCCACCACATATAATTTGTGTATATAAACTCTTGGTCAGGTTGTTAAAATCTGCATACTCTCAAAAATAATGCAGTGGACATGACCTCTATGTCCTTAATGACAGCTAAATGCCAGCTTATGTGATAAAATCTAAATCATGTATAAACAGTGATTATGTATATAGAACATTTGTGATATGATATACAAAAAATTTCACCCAGCCACCTGCATTTTCCCAGTAGTGATGTTATTCTCTGCTATATATTCAAGATTCAAGATTTTTATTTGCCATTTATGCATAAACAGTCTAGGCATATAGGAATTCTTGTGCAGCTCGCTTGGAGTCAAGTAAAGAGTTAAAAGCCAGAAAAGAACTCCTAGTCTGAAAATAAAGTTACGTAAGTGTGACACAGTATAAAAATGCATTCAAGATACAAATGCAATACAAAAAATAAGATAATAGATGAGATGGTGAGCTTCAAATATTGTACATAGTATTTCACATAGTAGAGCTGGATATGGTATTTCACTTAGTGAGGTAATAAGGGATTATTGCACATGTTTCTCATATTTTTGTATATGCCATCAGTCTTACTGCGGTAGGGAAAATGAATAAAAAACCATCTAGTCGGTGTGGCAATCACACAATAATATACACACAATAATAAAATAATAAAAGGCACAATAATAAATAATAAAAAACAAACACACCACCATACCTTCTCACACTCATCAATTGCACAAACCTTGTTGCGCTAAAAACTATGAGTATGAATGAATATTTCCTCAGTGGGAATCTCTCACATCAGGTTAGTTTAGCTGAATTGAGTCTAGTTATCGCTGTCGGGTAGAAGCTGTTTTTGAATCTACTTGTCCTAGTCTTAATTGATCTGTATCCTCTGCCTGACAGCAACTGTTGAAACAAATGGTGACCAGGATGTGAGGTGTCTCTTATGATATTCTGTGCTTTTTTTGAAACAGTGGGAACTGTGTAGTTCTTCCAATGTAGGGAGAGGGCAGCTGACAATCTTCTGGGCCATGTTAATGACTCTCTGGAGTGAGTTCCTCTGAGCTCCTGTACAGTTGGTGTACCACACACACATGCAGTACGCTAATATGCTCTCTATTGAGCACCAATAAAAGGATATCAGCAGTCTCTGACTGATGTTATCCTGCCTGAGCACTCTCAGAAAGTGCAGTCTGAGCCGAAAGTCCGTCACCCTCTCCACACAGTCCC